AAAGCAAGTGTTTTGCACCCTGCTTGGAAGAAGATGTCTAGCTTAAGCCTAGTGACAAAGAACTATTGGGCACAATGGGACCATTTGGAGCTTCAAGATGGTATTATTGTCTGGAGATGGGAAACTGCAGATTGGAAAGTGACGACCTGGCAAACAGCTATACCGAGAAAGTTACGGGAAGTTGCGCTGCGTCAATCCCATGATATTTTAACAGGAGGACATCTTGGAGTTAAGAAGACATTGAGTCACCTACAACAGATATTTTACTGAATAGGTATGAGGCCAGATGTGGAAGAATGGTGCAGGACCTGCAGTACATGTTGTGCTAAAAGGGGACCCAAGCATAAGGGACGTGCTCCAATGAAGTTATACAAGTTGGTGCACCAATGGAAAGAGTAGCCATTGACATTGTTGGTCTCTTGCCCCAAACTCGTGCTGGAAACAGGTATATTTGTGTGGTGATGGATTATTTCACCAAGTGGCCTGAGGCATATGCAATACCAAATCAGGAAGCTACAACTGTAGCTTCGGCTATTAGCGATTTCTTCTTCAGATTTGGTATGCCATACGAAATGCATTCGGATCAAGGCCATAACTTTGAATCAGCTGTATTCCATGAATGTTGCAAGTTGTTTGGCATACGAAAGACCAGGACAACGCCACTCCACCCACAGTCTGATGGAATGGTAGAAAAGTACAATTGGACATTTGGACAGGAATTGGACAGAAGTTTTGTAATAGCCGCCAAGATGACTGGGATGTCTTACTCCCTCCACTGTTGATGGCCTATAGAATAGCAGAGCATGAAGCCACTGGATACACTCCAGCAAAGTTGGTGTTTGGTCGGGAACTTCGGTTGCCAGTGGATCTGATAACAGGACGCCCACCTTACGAAGAGTTGCCTGAAAATGTGTCAGAGTTCGTGAAAGTGTTATCTGAAAGGATGGATGATATTCATCACCAAGTACATTCAAACTTGAAAACGTCTGCTGATTCCATGAAGCTATGTTATGCTATAAGATCTACTGAAGTCAGCTTTGTACCAGGAGACAAGGTATGGTTGTATAATCCCAGGAAGACCAAAGGGAAGTCTCCTAAGTTGTCTTCTCTGTGGGAAGACTTATATGACATAGTGGATCGTCTCTTAGACATGACTTTCCGAATAAAATGGGATCGGCGAGGTAAGCCAAAGGTGGTGCATTCCAACAGGCTTTGGCATTATCACTGTCCAGGACATTTCAATTGAAATGAAGTGAACAATGGAACAGATGGCGCTGCTGATGACATGTCACCTGAAAAATCCACAATCGAAGAAGAAACTCTACTCGGTTTGAGAAGAGAAACAGTGAAACCCTTAATGAAGTTACTACCACTAATGTGACTATTGCCGATAATAGAACATTTCTTGATGGAGCAGATAAACCCCACGTGAAGCAGAAGCCAACGAGACGGAGATCAGTACGGAAGAAGATACTTCCCGTAATATTAAGATACTTTGTTGAATTTCAATTTTGTGTTTGTAAATTCTGTACATTTAATCAAGTTATTGTTTATTATATATTGGTTTAATGTAAGTGGCTATTGTTCGGGACGAACAATACTAGAAAGGGGCAGTGTTACGACAGCGGAAGTCACGTTACGCTGGTAACACGTGATGAGTTTCTAGAAGGCTCATGACGCCCTCTATTTTTGTATATATATATAAGCCCGGCAAATAAAGCGGAGACAAGAAGTGATGGCATAGAGAATTGCAGATAGACAGACATGGAGACAGATAATTGAGTCAAGTGAGCGGTAATGACCGTAAGTAAAGTGCGTGAATCGTTGTGACTTACTGCGTGTGTTTAAGTTAAAATGACTGTGGACATTCTGTGTATTGCAAAGTTGTATTGAGAAAAAATAAACTAGTTTTATTTAAGAAAGAACTTGTATCGCTGAAGTTCCTCGGGAATAATTTTTACGGGAAATTATCAAACAAGCAGATACATAACAATATAATAGTACTGTCTGTTGTATGTCCATATAACTAATTCGAAGGGTGTGGATAGATCTTCACCCAAATTGTTATGGTGGTTCATCAGGTCCGTGCGGGGTACATATAATATTCAGTTTTGTATTTTGTGGTTTTTATGTGCGTTTTTTACCACTATATCGTCTCTTGTAGATGGATCTTCACCAAATTTGTCATGTTCATGCGGAGATACATGCAAACTTGTGGTTTTATATTTTGTGTCTTGCAGTTTCTATGGCCATTTTTTACAGTTACATATAAGGAAATCAACTTTTCATGTTCTAAGATAACCTT